ACTTTGTGTTATTTCATGGAAGACCCCGGGGGAGCCCGTGACAATCGGATATCATACCATGTGGGGGAGCCCATGGCATCCTAGGTAAAGACCATGGGGGAGCCCATGGCATGTAGGTATAAGACCCTGGGAGGATCCCACGACATCCTTATATGTTAGTATACATGGCTTATGTGGTTTATGTAGCTTATATAGCTAATATGGATTATGTGATTATGTGGATTGTGTGGGGTATGCTCTGGGGAACTCACTAAGCATTAGCTTACAATTTGTTGATTGTTTCAGGTACTTCAGAGCCTAAGGGCAAGGGCAAGGTTTGATGGCGCAGCATGCACTCTCCGGCATTTTATATGGGGGCACTCTGATATTTGAAATAAAATGTTGATGTTATGGATTTTGAAAACAATTGTCATTGAGATTTTATATTTTATGGGAATGTCTGGATTATTTAAAAATGAAAATTTTATTTGGAAATTTGGGTCATTACATATAAGAACATGTATCATATCATGTACGTGTATTTAGAATATATATGAGGTATACGTTTAAAACCATGTATCAAAGCATGTAAGTATACTTAGAGAAAGTATGGTTAGATGAGAAATGTATTTGTTAAATACCTAAGAGATAGTAGGAAGAGATAAAATATGATTATGTGTATTATAATCATATAGATGAGTATGTATGGTATGGTGTAAAATACCTAAAAGTTATGAGAAGAAGAATTAGATAAGTACTTAATGATTTAAATACTTAATGACTTAAGTACTAGATGAGTAGTAGAAGATCTCTTGATGAGATAAAGAGATAGATAATCAAACAACACATGCATCATAATAGGTAGATATAAAACAACACATACCTTGGTGCTTTTTTTCTTTTTGTTAAAGTCGAGTTCTACCCACCTCTATGAGTTTAACAACAGTTCTGGGGCAAAATAAAAATGGGAAAATATAAGACATCCCGATAGCATAAGCAAAGACACTTATTTGGCAAACCAAACCTCAAACCAGAATCTAGACTTTTTTTAATTGAAGTGCTCAAACTATGTACCTTCATGATCGCCATTTTCAGTTTTCAGTTAGGTGCGGTAGATTTTATTGTCTGCCATTATGCCTAAAACCAAACATTATTAGATATTTAACAGTCAAACATTTTGTTACGTAAGAAAGCAAAATAAAATGATTAAACAACATAAGGAATTAACATGGTTCGATCATTGTGACTAACTCTTCTATTATCTAGCTTATTCAAAGGTGATTAAATTGGAATTCTAAGCTACAGATACTTGGCCGAGATCACATACAAGTAAATTCAGGCCTAATGACCATCAACCTACTCCAAACACTTATCTCTTCGAAATCGTCGTTCGGGTTTTCGTCACTTCATTTCACATCAGGTTATTCGTTTGGGTCACGAAACTCCAAGTCACACGTTAGCACAATTTTAAATTGTATGTGGTGTATTAAATCCTTACACCTAAAGTTGAATATAAATAGGCAAGGGCATTTAGACATTTACCTTTGTCAAACAAATCTGACGAATTTCCTAAGGTTTAGTTTACCAAAGACTTGACTACAAAATGAAAAGTAAAGAAGTGAAATGGAATCGAGATAATGTCTTACGATGAGACCCCAAGATCTCAGTATAGATCTTACTTCATAATCGGTTCTATTGTAGGATTAAATCACTAAATCTTAAGATTGTAGGATTTTAAGATTGAAAGATCTTAACAACCACGGAGTTTCAAAGTAAATCACTAAATCTTAAAATTAGAGTCATATTAAAGGCAATGTTTTCTTTTTTGATTAAAAGTTGGAGTCAATTTATTATCATATAAAATACACCCATTCGCGTCTTTATTTAAGATTAAATTTTCGTAATTTTGTAAAGACAACGGAGCACCTACCAACTTAACTAAAAGACCATGATATACTATCATATTATATGGGCTACCAGGGAAGAAATCAAGTCGGCCATCCAAACTTCATTATACTTCTGTTCTTGACATCACCAAGCATACCCAGTTCTTGAATTTGCTGCTTGGACGAAAAGTGTGAGATTGGTCGAATCATCTAATGCTTATTCAACAACAAAACCCCTAAATTTGAGGAGTTGCAAAGCCAATTTTCTTTTCGATGTTTTGTTCTTCAAGTTCAGTGATATCCAGTCAAATGGTTAGTCATTCTTTTAGTTTTTACTCATTTGTGATTTATCCGTGTTCGTGTGTTGTGGTGATTGAGTTTAATCTTTGGTTTGTTGCATAAACAATTCATTTTTGTGAGATAAAGATTCATGGAAGAAAAAAAAATATTGCTTATACATCAGGGAAAAAGACCCAATTCTGACCGGTTATACGTGTCAAATATTTTTTGAAACTCGCTCGTTTGCTGAAACTAATTAAAAAGACCCAGTTATATGGTTAGTTTTTATGTTTTGTAATAATTTATTTATTTTTATTATTTTTTGCGTGTGTTTTTTTAGATTCGTATGTTTTCACAAATTAGTTTTTTGTTAAAAATTCTTTTGAATCCTTTTACATATTCGTTTACAAGCGCGCACGCTTGTAAAAATATGTAAACTTTCATTTTTTTTTATAGTTAAAGATAGATCCACTGTAAATTTTGTTTTACCTATTATACATATATAAGGTTGTGTGCTCCTCACTTTGAATAGATCAAGTCTTGAGAGTTTAATCATATTACGCCTCTATCCTTATGTGATAAAACAAAATCTACTTGATCGATTTGTGTTTTTGCAAATCTAGCATTTTCAGTCTCAACTTACTAAGTTATTATATACAATTATGTGATATACTGATGTAACCATCCCATTTTGGTTATTTTGCAATTAACCCATGTTATGTTGTCCTTAACTTTCATGTTGATATTGGGTTCATAAATCTTACATATGATTTCCCTAATTAATTAACTTTACTTTATCTTTGTTATATTCCATTAGTCTTGATCAAATTCTGGAAATAAATTCCATTGCATTGGTAGCATTGAGCTTCGACGACCTTAGAAGAATCACCATTTCTCAAACAAGTTCCATGACGAAAAATCAACAAATTAATAATGACAACAATAAGAACAGTGGAACACTTCCACTTTCTTCTGGTGCAACAAAGCAAAATAGTTTGTCACATACGTTGGCTCAAATCGAGGTACCCCTAAAATGTTCTTTGAATGGTTTTGGTAGTAAATTTAGTATGTTGCTTAACAACATAATATGTTACTAGCAGAAAATTTTGAAGCTATCTCTTAACGAATGTTTTAATCGGGTGAAAATAAATATTCTCTTGTATTTTCTTCTTACATATCTTCCAATACATATTAAATAGTGACATATATAGATTAAAATATTATTAATTCACTAAATGTGAGACATGTTTACAGAAAAAAAATATAGGACGATATTTAATCTCTCTTTAATTGGAGTTGTGGGTAATTATTTTTTAATTATGAATATTAATATGTCATTTAAAAGCATAAATACATATTTTTATATTTTTAAAAGTAGAGATATACTTTTTAGAAGTATAAATACGTATTTTTATATATTTAAGAAGTATAATTTTTTAAGAAATATAAATACGTATTTTTATGTATTTGGAAGTATTGAATTAGAAATATAAATACATATTTTTATGTTTATGGAAGTATAAATACATTTTCTTTTCATATAAACACACTTTCAATTGATATACTTTTAAAATATGTATTTATACATCTAAAAACTATTATTTACATTTTAAATCGTGTAAATATAGAAAAAATCTTGCATATAAAAAAATATCATTTAAAAAGAACGTAAATATAATGTTTAATTAAACATTTTTCGTATATAAATATATTTTTCTGCATTAATACTTTTAATATGAAAAAAATATGTAAAATAAAAAACATAAAAAAAAAATTACAAACTTAAGGGTTTTCTTGAAAATTTTAATTCATGGTAATCTACAAACTTGCTATCACAAGTTAAAAGGGCAAAAATAGAAGAAAACAAAACTTGTAAAGTTTAGGCATTTATGAAAATAAAAACAGGATAAAATCATATTTTATGATAAAAAGGTTTTTTTATCAAAAATCTTACTGATAAGGTGATCTATCATTTTTTAAATGCCATATCATTTTTTAAATAAGCAAAACAAGGGTAAACAACATTCTCCATGATTCATGAAACCTACAAGCCACTCTGTTCGCTAAAACTCTCAAATTAAAAGGTAACCTCAAAATTTGGGCTTAAACCAAATAAAAGTGAATCTTTTAAGAAAAACTAACAAAAATATTATTATATGGATCGACAAAATAATGGAACCATTCATACATTTTTTCTAGTTATTATTTAAGGTGAGACGGTATGCCGAGAGAAAAGAGTGAGGGAAAGTTTCGCCAACCCTGGAACATCATCATGTGGGTGGGGGAAAATACGTGAGGAAAAAAATAAGGGAAGTTTATCCCCCACTCTCTCACCTTGTGTGATTGGTCAGTATTTCGTTTTTTTTTTTTAGTTTTTTTAATATTTTTTAAATTATATATCTACTAAAAGGTTATAAAAAATATATCAAAATTTATAATTTTTAATTCTCTACAAAATGAATATATAATATTTCTATGATTTTTTTTAAATGAAAGATTCTTCCTATACAAACCTTGAGTTTTGATGAGAGAAAGAAAAGTAAAAGAAAGGCTGAGGTGGCAAACAAAAAATAAGGATCCGTCCGGTCTAATAAATACATCTTACTTACCAAAAGATAAGGAAACATTTTTACCCAACTTAATAGTCTAGTTTCTATGAAATCTCATGTACATTGTTCATATATAAATGTAAGTTATGTGTGCTTATTAGGAAACATGGATCGACCTATTGGGAATTTCACCATGTGTTATGGAATCCATTTGTGTTTTTGCTTTGATTATAGCACTTCTATTTTCAGTAAAGAAACTTATACTTATTGAATATGATGCTAAAACCTCCACCAGGTTACTCCACTTATGATAGGAGTTGCAACTGTTGTTGCTGCTGCTACTTACGCTTGTGCTAGTCGATTCAAGGCTCGATCAGTTTCACCCATATCCCGTAAATTTTATAAAGGGGGTTTCAAACCTCAAATGACTAGAAGGGAAGCCGCTCTTATTCTCGGAGTAAGGTACACTACCAAAATCTTATTGGTTGCTACGTTGGATTTATATGATTCAACTTGAGAATGTATTATAAGGAGATTATACGTGTGAGTTGAAGTTCATAAGTTTCGGCAAAAGTATAGGGTAAATTGCACGAATGGTCCCTGTGTTTTGGGGTAGTTTGCGTGTTTCGTCATTAACTCATTTTTTTTAACTCGGGCGGTCCCTATTTTATATTTTGTTGCGTCTTTGGTCCCTACTAGACTTAAAAAGACTATATTGCCCTTATTTTGTCTTTTAATTAAATTGTTATTTATTTATTTATTAATTAATTTATAATTTATTTAAACAATAGAATAAAGAAATTAAAGTAACCCAACACTCACCCTCAACCTACCCACTTCTAAACCTAATATGATTTATCTATTCTCTATTCTATCTCCTTCTCCCTTCTTTAAACCGATGTAAGAAACTCAATAGGCTATCGGACTACCAGCCAAGAAAAAACTAATTGCCATCGGAAAACACCATATGTTGTCGATCTATAGTCTAAAGTCGTTGATCTACAATCTAAAGTCGTCGATCTGCACTATCAACCATATGCACCATCGATCGTCTTCTGATGTCATCGGAAACTCTCAGACGCCATTGATCTTCACCGTCGTCGATAGTCGCCGATCTATACCATCACCGCATTCATATCCAATGTCATCGGTTTAGATATGCACCGTCATTGACCTGTACTATCACACCCACGAACGCTCTCATTTCTCGAATATTTCTCGTTTGATTTTTGGTTAGGATTTCTCGATGGAGTGTTTTTTTCGGTGGCGAAGGTGGTGATGTTTTACTCCGGTGGCCGAGGTGGTGGTTTTCCAGCTAGGTGGGGTGAGGATGAATGTGGGATGGATAAGAAATCTAATGGTAGAGGATGGTGTGGAAATATAGAGGTGGTGGTCCAGTTAGGTCTGGCGGCGACATCGTCCGGCAGCGGTGGCAGAAGGTGTTTCTCCGACAATTTGTTCGTTTTTCGTTTGTTTTCCAATGAAACAAACATGTGCATTTTTTTCAATACACTTTTTCTAACCATGATTTGGGTAGAGCATATTTTTGCATCTTCCGGCAAGAGGTTTTGATTTTTCAGCGAGAGGAGTGAGATTTTTTGGCAACTCAACACAAGGAAGCAGGAGAGGGGAGGAGGGTTCAATAGTGTGGGTTCTTGAATCAAACCAATATATATATATATATATATATATATATATATATATATATATATATATATATATATATATACTTATACTTTTCTATATTTAATTAATATTTTTTAATTAATTGATAATTTAAATAAAGTAAAAGAAATCAGTAAGGGTAAATTAATCTTTTTATAAGTGACAGGGACCAACATGCAACAAGAATAAAAAGTAGGGATGGTTCGAGTTAAAAAAAGTTATTAGGGACCAATAACGTAGAAAACCCTAAACTACAAGGACCATCCGTTCATTTACCCTTAAGATTATGAATAATATCATATAAATTAATAATAGTTATTTGCATAAATAGACAAGCATTAATTGTAAATAAAATTGTTTATTGAGATAAATGTCATATTATCTAACTACCACCAGCTTAGGTATGAAAATTTACTAAAGATAAATATGTAGATTCCTCATAAGTTTTCATTAGTGTTATTGAAATACCAAGATGTTATTATTAAAGATGAACGACATGTTGGAAATTATATGGGAAAATCCAAGGTGGCTAAACTCTTTATCCTATATAGGTGGGAGGAATAAACTTAAATACATTTAAAATAGTCAACCCCATACATGCACCTAGTTGTTGTTAGATGTGATACATGTTAGGCCAATAAATATTTATTAGGCTAACATTCGAGAAACAACATCATATTTTTTACTCTTCCACGAGACATTGAACGAAATACAAACTTCACTCGACTGGTAAGCAATACATGGGGAGGGGTCATGTATACCTCCTCATGAAGATCACCATTCAAGAAGTCATTTTTAACATCTATTTGGAAAATCTTCCACTGGCGAACGGATGAGAGTTCGCCATGAGACTCCTATCACAGTATGAATAGTTGTCATTTTTGCAACTAGAGTAAATGTCTCCTCATAATTCATGTCATAGTTTTGTGAATAACCTTTGGCAAAAAGTATGTCCTTGTATCGTTCGACTAATCCACCAGACTTGATTTTGATCTTATAGAACCAACAAAAACCGATAGTAAAATAGTCGGTTGGCAGAGGAGTTATATCCCATGTATGAGTCTGATAAAGGAAGCTAAGCTCTTTGTCCATAGCATTCTGCTAAAGCGGATCATAAGCATCCTCTTTGTGGGGCACATGTTTGGATAGACGATATACATTGACGATAAAGGTGGCAAACGGTGATGAATTAAAAGAATATGCAAATTTTGGGAGCTTAGTGCCTTTGCAAGTACGAATAAACATACGAGGTAGTAGAGGATCTACAATCACAATACCTAGTCTACTAGATGTATGCTAATTTGATCTATCAAGTTGGCCCTTCAGGGATACTTTATTTTGTGACTTAAACTAGCAACAAAGTAGCATTGGGCTGATATTTAGCCGATTTAAGGCATATTTTGGGTAGTTTTGACCTATTTCTTGGACTTCTTTCTCCTTGTAAAATTCTTTTGGAGATTAAGGGTTTCATATCTTAATTTTAGTCACTTATAAGTGATTTGTTAGCCCCATTTGATTGTTTATTAATACTACAAGTTGTATGTTTCTCCTTATGGACACACACAATAACCACGATTGTGGAACCACGTTAAATACATGTGTTTCATGATTTCTTTTCTTTTCATTTACATTTGCTTTATCTTGGTATGTGTTGCTCTGGTTATCAAGTATTTCTCATATTTGTTTGTTATTTGTTTCGTTGTTAGGATTTCCACTTGGTTATTAGACCAAGTGTTTGATATATCTTCGGGATATGTTTGGATTACTAAGATTTGGACTCGCCAAAGGATCCCCAAAAAATTAATTTCCTAATATGATAAAATTGAATAAACCAAAGTGGAAACATTAAAACATGGATTTCATAAAATAACACAAAAAGCTACAAACATGATCCATCAAACACAAAAATTATACATAGTACACAACCATAGGGTTTTTACAACAACCAACCTTGGGATTTCGGTTGTACTAGAGTTGACATTCCATGAACACCAAGGGAATTGAAAAATATCGCTCCCATTTACTATAACCACTAACCACACTTGAGAAAGGTTATCGTGCTCCGCTAAGAAGTGTCATCCAATTAAACAATTGATATATCAATGGTTTGCTAATATCATTCAAAAACACGCCCTTGGATTTAAAAAGTTTAAAAAAAATCTTAATTTCTTGATTGAAAGTCATCCATGTCAACAAGTGGGATTCGTAGTCATATTCCTTACATATTTGATCCGTTTGTACATTATAGCATTTATATTGTATCGAAGTGTGTCTATTTATGTTCCAATCCCATTACCGACCACTTGCTCTAGATGTGTGACCCTGTTATAATTGAAAAAAAAATTGCATCCTTTGCATGATTTTACTTTTCCATATCTAAATTTTACAAAAATCAAAATCCATTTCATAAATTACAAAAATTGGGGTCGATTGTCTCCATGAAACAATAGACAGTTTGAGTGAAATATGAGCATGTGAGTGTGCCAATATAGTTTTTTTTTACATGTACAGGGGAAGCATCACAGCTAATAAAGTAACTGAAGCCCATCGAAGGGTGATGGTTGCAAACCATCCGGACATTGGTGGTAGTCACTATCTTGCTTCCAAAATCAACGAAGCAAAATACAAGCTCATCAGGAAGCCCAACAACACTGACTCTGCTTTCTCATACGATTTAACTGTAGATTCGGATTCTGACTAACATTGTTTATACCTTAAGGCTTAAACTGTCATGGCTCTTTTTGCAATATGTGTTTCTGTATAATTCATGGACTGGGATTTGGAGTTTATAAAGATTTGTTGTATTGACTATCTTTATTGTCATGGGATTGTCTAATTACATTCCAATTGTTTCATAACACGAAATATCATTTTTTTAGACAAAACAGCAAATTTGGTCATTGTGTGGATGAGATCCAAAATCTTTTCCACTTATATGGATGATCCAAAATCAGAAAATTTATGTGGATTTGGTCCTCTCAAACTTTATTATATATGAATTTAGTCCATGTCCTTTAAATGGTTCTTTTTTAATTTTTTTAATTTATTGTCTTTCCTTCCTCTCTCTCTCTCTCTCTCTCTCTCTCTCTCTCTCTCTCTCTCTCTCTCTATATATATATATATATATATATATATATATATATATATATATATATATATATATATATATATATATATATATATATATATACTGTTCATTTGGTTTTGCCGTTGTAAGTATAAAACAGGTTAAGTATAGATCAAGGTATAATTTTTATAGAATGTAATATAAATTGTGAAATAAGCATTTATTTGAAAATAGCAAATTTGTTTCGGGAAAAAAATCTCATATTTACAATTTCTACCCTACAAAAATTTTGATTAAAAGGTTTTTATCCTTTAAAATCTATAATTTTAAAGTTAAATTATTGGTATTTTTAAATTATGATTTTGATCCCTTATTATATTTTAAGGTTACGTTTTTTACCTCTTTCATAATTGTTTTTATAGTTATCATTTTTATTAACATTACTTTTTTATTTAAACGTTATAAACTTTTATAATATTTATTATGATATTAACTCATAAAATTAATATGTTCAAGATTCGTCTTCAAACTTTATTTTCGTCTGCTTCCTCCATACATAATTGTTTGGTTTGAAATCTTATTTTATACTTTTATGTTCCACTTTACGGAAAACTCTTGAGTTTTCCTGGAAAGACATTTCCAGTTCTGATTGAGTTGACTCAATGAGTCAAACGATGAATCTATTTGACAACGATTCAAAGGCCAAAGTCGTGATTTGAAGAGCGAACTCTAAAGATATAGAGATGAAGGGAGGAAATACGGCTCCCAGTTCACCATCACCAGGGGCGGTTCTATGTGGGTGACAGTAGTGATACCAACAACGCCTGCTTTTTCTGTACGCAGTGCAAAAAAAATTTGAAATTTTTTTCTACTATTGTGTCACTACTTAAAAAATATGCAACTACATAAAAGAAAATATGCCACTACAGGCGAAATGTTTTTCCATGCCACACCTAGTAGGAGATCTTACGTCCACCCCTTACCATCACTCACTCCGAGGTCCACTGACAAGGAAGTAAGAGATCTCTAACATGTAGAAGGAAATGTGCGTGGTAAACACAATATGAAAAAGGCATGAATGTTCAGGTTGCTGTGCGTTGCAGGTGTGCACTTTTTCCTCAAAATCGGACAGAAAACCTTGAAATCAGACCTTGAAACCTCTAAAATCATAACTAGAAACCTCTAAATCGGACCTTGAAAAGAAGCCCTATCACCACCACCATCTTCATGATTTCATATCACAACCAACAACACCACCTGCAATCGGTGGCAAGAGGAAAGAAGTGAGAGTGAAAACCAATCTAAGGCTAGGGAGAAACATGTGTTGGATAAGGTGTCTAAGTCCATAACTATTTCTGGTATGTACTTGACCCGACCCGGCATGGTCCATTTGGGTTGCATGACACCATGCAATTGGATAAACTAAAATGAGAGAAATAACACTTATGGTTTATTAATATATTATAAGTTCTAATATATTAATAATATTATTTAATTAGTTTGATCAAGAATTAATTTAGAATTAATTAAGTGATCAAAAGATAACTAATTAAATATATGGGTAGATTATATAAATCTTCCATATCTTATATAGTGGGCTAAGAGGCTCCATGAATTATCAAGTTGGGTTCCACCCATAGGATGCTCCATGGGAGTTACAAACCCATGGGTCATGGAAATGAAGAGTCATGACACATTAGGGTTTACATGGTGTAACCCTAGATGTGTCAACACTATATAAGAAACCCATTCTCCACCAAAATAGGTTACACACAAGAAACAAGAGGGCTAGAGTCGATTTTGCAAGTGTAAGATTCTCTCAAAGTTTACTCCTTTGCATTTGGTGTTGTGTGAAGCATTTGAGGCATCACACTTGGGGTGCTAGGCTCACAAGGTTTCAAGGATCATAATCAACAACAAGGTAAGTTATTCTATCTTTCATTCAAGTTAAAAATGTTCCTCGTGTATGCTAGATAGAAATATAACCTTGGAATTCAACTTTGCATGATTATTAGACAAACATAGATCCAAGGTTATTAGGGTTGCATGTACACTTAGGAAGTGTTAGAATGCTCAAAACCCATCAGTGGTATCAGAGACTAGGTTTGTTTGTTGTTTTTTTTTTTGTGTGCAAACAGCTTGAAAAAAAAACGTTTTTCTGTTTTCTGCTCGTATGAAAGTTTGCACATTTGTTGCTGGAAATGGACTAGAAACATTACCCTAAACTGTTTTGATGTTTTAAAGCTTGTTTTAGATGGTGTAATGTTTATGCTAATCCATTTACAATGGCAATTATTAAAATTACAAGTTTTTTTTAAGTGTAATTTTTGATTCTTGAAAGTGTTCATATTCATGTTCTTGAACTTATGAAGATTAGATGATCATAGGAATTGTTTGTAACCTTCATGGTAGTTTAATTCATGATCATAATGTGTTTTAATGGAGTCCATAACTTGTCCTCAAGTTATGGAAAACCAAAAGTCTCACTTTTATTAAAGCCATTAAAAGAACACAAGAGTTATAAAAATGAAGAGTCTTCATTTTTATTACTCAATTAATTCATAAGTTATAAGAAATGAAAAGTTTTGGAAGTTTACAAAACTTGCCCTCAAGTTTTGGAACATGTAAAGTCTTGATTAAAACTTTAGTTCCAACCCTTAGAATTTTAAAAGTTAAAATTCAACCCTTATACTTTATAATATTATAAGTTACTAATATATATATATGTATAACAACAAGTCGTCTTACCGCTAGTACGCCTCATTCACGAAGCCGGTCTATAAGGGGGGTATAAGGTTGTTGCCTATAAAATGGCAACTTAATGGGTGTCCACTCTCACCCACCGCTTCCTTGATCGGTGGAGGGTCGTTAGCCGAACGGGTAAGACAAGGACTTATAAATTCTCATTAAAAGTATGATGAATATTATAAAGTAACTAAATGCTTTTATTAAATTCCCAATCTTAGTTACTTTAGGAAAATGTGAATAAGGTGCTAATCCATGAAATTACACTTTACACTTTGTTTAAGTCGTTGGTGGAGCGTGTGTGGTTAACCGGCACACTAACTTGGACTTAACAAGGTAGGTAAAGGGTGACTTAAGGTTTACCATAGCATCGGTGGAGCGTGTGTGGTTTACCGGCACATCGATTGAGTGATAAACCTTGAGGGTACCAAGTGATTTGCATGGTTACTTCACACCTCGTTTTGTGATCCTCGGTATCCCAGTCACAAAACTTGGAGGGCACACTCGAGATTGAAACATGCCTTTGAAAAGTTCATTGAATCTCAAAAGAATCTAGGAATTTCTAAGAACCAATTAAAAACCTAATATTTATATTTCGTTTTTCATGGTGGAAATTGGTGAATCGTCATTCACCTACCTTTCAAATATGTTATAGCTTGGATTACGGCATACCTCTTCTAAGTTATAATATATTGTGATTGGATCCTAGCCTTAATATTACATTTGGGTGTTTTATTAAGGACTCTCTTAATATCTAAACTAATCTTGTTCTCTTCTTTCAGATGTCTTCAAACAATGCTGCTTCTGGCTCTAATCCTAATGGCTCCTTTACCCTTATGAACTTGTGTGGGAAAGTCACTTTTGATGGATCCAACTTCAATGAATGGATCAGAAACATCAGGATGATTACCCGCTACGAGGACAAAGAATATGTCCTTGACAAGGAGCTTAAGGAGATTGATGAGACCACTGCAACTCCCCAGGAGATCGCTGACTTCCGGGCACATGAAAGGGATGCTACAAAAGTGGCATGCATCATGTTGGCCACCATGACAGCGGAACTCCAAAAGTCCTATGAGGACTTCTACCCTTTTGAAATGCACCAAGATCTGATGGAAAGATACCATCAAAGTGCACGACAAGAGAGGTATGAAATCATATGCTCTATCATAACAACCATGATGAAGGACGGGGAATCCGTCACGAGCCACATGCAGAAAATGCAAAGGTATGTGGATCGGTTGCTGAAGCTTAATGTGAACTTCCCTGAGGAGCTTGCAATAGATATCATTTTGCACTCCTTACCATCGTGCTATGATCAATTCCGCATGACATATCACATGAATAAGGAAGAGGTCACACTCAGCAAACTTCAGGGACTCCTCAAGACCGCAGAAACAGGTCTTAAGGGTAAGTCGGTTGTTAACACTCCTACTCCAAACTCCGCCCCGGTTTTGGCAATCGGGAAAGGTAGAGGGAAGAAGAGGAAGAGCTCTTCGAAGGGTACCAAGGCTAGGACCCTTGATGGCTCTTCTTCAAGTGGAACCAAGAAAGGTTTTGTCACTCCTTCTTCTGACCCAAAAGAGGCTGAATGCTTCTATTGCCATGAAAAGTCACATTGGAAGCGGAACTGCCCAAAGTACCAGCAAGATGTGAAGGATGGGAAAGTTAAACCCAACCATGCAGGTATTTACACTATCTTATCTAATAACTCACCCCATTCTAACTCTTGGGTCCTTGATACCGGTTGTGGTATTCATATCTGTTCTGATTTGCAGGGACTAAGAAGAAGTGAGAATGTGGAGCATGGAAGAATAAACTTAATCATGGGGAATAGGAAAGCTTTACCTGTCACCAAGATTGGAGTTTATACTTTATCGCTAAGTAGT